TGGGCTGTGACTGGGTGGAAGATGTGTGCCAGGCCCCCTGTCTGGTGACACAGTGGGCAGCTGCAGGGGTACCCAGTGGGAGCAAGGCTGTCAGAACTGGCAGTGGAGTGGCAGAGGGAACTGCTCGTTAGCTGATGAGTCTGGTGTGGTTATGGTGACGTGCGTGAGGGCGGCTCCTGCTTCAGGCTGCCCCCATCCCCCCTGCAAATGTGCTTGCAGAGATGACAGATTTCATGCTAATCCACATTTATCCTGCCCTAATTACGCTGCGGGAGGTGAGGAATAAGCGCCCAGACTTCCATGCCAAGGGCTGGCATGTGCCCACCCCTGCTCGATGCTGCTGGTCAGGACTGGTGCTGATGCTGTGCCCACTGCCATGGCAGTGTCACCTCGCAGAGTGGCACCTTGCATGGCACGTGGCACCCCTACCCCAGCTGGGGTGGTGTCTTCAAGGTGCTGCCCGTGCACCCACAGGTGGGTACTGGGTGGGTGGCACCCAAGGTGCTGCGTGCCTGGCCATGGTTGGTGGAGCACTGGGCTGAGCTGTGGGCAGGTGTGTCCGTGCCAGGCCATGCCACGCTGTGCCGTGCCGTGCCACGCCACCTCGTGCTGTGCCCACCCGCTACGGCTGCAGCAGAGCAGCGAGCGTCCCACCCCGGCAACGCGCCGTGCACACACAGCACTTTAAATGTTTTATTTGGGGAAAGTGCTGTCGTTAGCAGGGATTAATAATTAAAATCAGAGCCATCTATAAAACATGAGTGGCCGCACGCTGGGCTGCTGGTGCACAAGCAGAGCCGGGCACGGTCCCGCCACTGGCATCGCCCGGGGATGTGCTGCGACGGCGTTTGCCGGCGCTGCCGCAATGGCACCTCGTGCCAGCAGCGGGTTTGGGCTCCTCACGGAGAAGTGGGCACAGGCACCGGGTGCCACGGCGTAGGGGCTGGACTGGAGATGGGCAAAATTGTGCTAAATCAGCGTTTGGGTGTAGCGGTGGTCTCCGGTGCCAGCCGTCCCGGCGAGAGGTGGCAGGAGGCAGCAGGCAGCGCCGAGCTGTTTTTAGCGGCTGCCGGTGCTGGGGAGCGGGCGTGAAGAGCAGCCGCCGCGGCACCGACGTGCCATTTTTAGAAACCGGCGAGTTTTGCTAATGATGCCTGTGAGCGGCGGGGGGGCTGCCTGCACCCCGGCACCCCCGGTCCCTGCTGCCCACACCCCGGCCCCAGTGGCCGGCCCTGTCCCTCTGACCTCCCCGCCTGGTTCTGGAACTTGTCACTGGAGGCGCCTGCACTGCCCAGGGCATCCTTGCACCCACCTGGGGCTCTGATGGCCCTCAGGGAGCTCTGATGGTCCCTGGAGAGCTTTGGTGGTGCTTGGGGAGCTTTGGAGGTCCCTGGAGATCTCTGCTGGCCACCGGGGAGATCTGCTGGCCACCAGAAAGCTTGTGTTTACCCCTAAAGTCCTTCCAGGCTATAAGGCACGTCTTTTGTTCCTTTCTCTGCTCAGGAGACAACACCCACCCTTAGCTGGGGAGACTCATCCCATCTCAGAGCCTGGTCAGGACCTGTGCCAGCCACATCAGTGTCCCAGTCCTGATCCTGGCCCTGTCCCTGAAAGACAGTTCTCCCCCCTGGAGACATTTCTCTCCCTGAGCTATTGCCCTGAGCAGCCTCCCTGCACCCTGGTCCCTATGGCTGCAGGTACCACACAGAGAGCCAGGGGACCCTCAAAGCTCTTCCAGTGGGAAGGGGAACCAAACCCCAATGCCATGTCATCACTGTGATGCAGGAGGACACAATGGAAACCTACCCCCTTCCCACATCAGGGCTCCAGGGACCAGGAGCCCACCCTGGATGTGATGGGAGCCAAGCTGGTGGAGAGGTACAAGGCTTTGTACGTTGCCATCCACACAGGAATGGGCCGCACCAGGAGCAGGTGGCTGGGGATGAGCAGTCACACTCCAGGGTGCCCAGGCAGGCGGGCGGCAGCCCTGTCCTCACTCATGGTGTGGTCAGCAACTGGGATGGGCTGGAGGAGCTGTGCCACTGTGGGGGGCACCGTGCCTGGTGGCCGAGCTGGGGATCACTGCTGAGGCTGCCCCACACCTGGGGCTGGGCTGGGCAGCTCACTGGCTGCGTCCCTCGACGCCTTCCAGGGCACATGGGTGCCACTGGACACTTACGGGGAGGGTGACCCTGCCACCATGCACCCCCCTGCTGCTGATCCCAGCTGAGGGACAGGGGTGATGATTGGCAGCTGCACCCCTTTTTGTTCTCCCCCCCTCGCCCCCCACCGGCCCCCCGAAAGGAGGGATGGGGTTTATTTGGCCCTGTTGCCGGGCCGACGTGCGCAATTATCGCTGATTGCCTGGCGGTTGCCATGGCGATGGCGAGCACGCAGGGATGCGGTGCCGCGTGGTGCTTGAGTCACGGACACGCTGAACACCCCCCGCTGCACCCCACTGCACCCTGTCACGGACACAGTGAACACCCACCGCCACACCCCACTGCACCCCGGTACTGACACGCTCAACACCCCACACCGCGCCCCACTGCACCCCAACACAGACACCCCGAACACCCCCTGCCACGCTCCACTGCACCCCTGCATGGATACACTGCATAGCCCCCGCTGCATCCCACTGCACCCCAACACTGACACACCGGACACCCCTCACCACACCACTGCACCCCGACATCAACATGCCAAACACCCCCCACTGCACCCCCGCATGGACATGCTGGATGCCCCATCACACCCCACTGCATCCCTGCATAGACACGCTGAACAACCCCTGCCGCACCCTGCTGCACCCCTGAACAGACACACCAAACACCCCCCACTGCACCCCTGCCAGATACTGAACACCCTCTGCTGCACCTCACTGCAGCCCTGCACGTATACACCAAACACTCCCTTGCTGTACCCACTGCATCCCAGAACAGGCACACTGAACACCCCCTACTGCACTCCACTGTACCCCCAGCACCCTCCAGGAGGGCCCTGCACCCCCTGCACCCTGCTGGGGTGGGGGGGGTATGGCCAGACGTCCCCCACACTGCGTCTTCTCACCCAAGGGTAGGTTCAAGTGTCACTCCCTCCCCATGTGCCCCATCCAAGGCAGAGGTGTACAGCTGGGTGCCCCCCAGCCCTGGCAGCCCCACCCACCTCAGGCATCCCAGGCTCACTCACTCCAGAGGACCTGTGGGAAAAAACACCCCAGATTGCCATGATACCCAGGACCCAGCTCTGGGAGGCAGTGGGAAGGGGGTGTGGAGGTGTATGAGGCAGTGGGTACATGGGATGGTGGATGCACGGGGCAATGGGGCACAGCACCACAGGGACAAGATCTGAACCAGTCGGGACCAGGGGACAGTGATGGGACCCCAGGCCAGTTCTGACATGGCCAGGAAGCTGGTGCCAGCAAGTGCCAGGCACAAGTGGAACCAAGGGACAATGGAGGAGTGCCATCCCATCCCATCCCATCCCATCCCATCCCATCCCATCCCATCCCATCCCATCCCATCCCATCCCATCCCATCCCATTCCATCCCTCATGCTGTGAGCCATGGCCAGGCAGCCCCAAAACGCACGGGTGCCTGCCAGGTAATTGTGACTTACGCTCCAGGTCCCCGCGAGGTGCAGAGATTAATAACCGTGGCGCGCTGCTGCCAGCCGCTATGATTAAACTCTTGATTAGAAGCTCAAACTACAGTGCCCCTCTAATTCCCCCTGCTCTCATGCGCCGTTAATTACCCGGCGCGGGTGGTGGTGGGCCCAGGGCTCAGTGACATGCAGGGGACAGATGCCAGGGGTGTCCCGGGCTGGCTCTACCTGGGAGTGCCGCCTGGTGTCCTGTGTGAAGAGGGGAGATGCTGGCTTAGGGGATGGGACCCTGATGTTCCCCATCCATGGACAGGGAGGAAGGCTGTGGGTCCGGGGAGCGGGCAGCCACATCCCTGTGGCGACTTGGTGCAAGCCAGGTGGTTTGGGGAGCTGGGGTTTGGTGGGTGCAGGGGCGGGAGGGAAGGGGAGTGGGGGTGCGGTTCGGAAGCAGCACCATATGGGCCGCAAATGCCAGCGTGTGGCACGCAGCCGTCGGGGAGGCTCCGCACACGCGGCTGCACTGCGTGAGGAGCAGGGGGCGAGGGGGCTGGGCAAGGGGCTGGGGACCCTGCTATGCCCCAGGGGCTGTGCTGCCCTTCCTTGGTTGGGTGTGGTGCCCGAGCTGTGGGCAGAGGAAGAGAATCAGGGTGGATGATTTCTTGCTGCTTTCTTGCTCCTTGTGTCAAGCTGTGGGGCACAGACTATTTCTGTCATGGGGGACCGAGCAGGGCCTTTGGCCCTGCAGCTGGGGAAGGAGAAGTTGCCAGGTTCACCCTAGATCGGGGCAAAGAGGCAGAAGTGTCCTCATGGCAGTGTCCTCATAGTGCCCTCAGGGGACAGACATTTGTGATGCTGAGCCTGAATTCAGCTTTGCTAAAATCCTGCTCCTGCCCCTTCCCATCCCATCCCATCCACCCAGTCACATCTCATCCCATCCCATCCCATCCCATCCCATCCCATCCCATTCCATCCCATCCACCCAGTCACATCTCATCCCATCCCATCCATCCCATCCTGTCCCATCCCATCCAACACCATCCCATCGCATTCATATTGCCCCATCCCCCTGCATATCATTCCATCTCATCCCATCCATCCTGTCCCACCCCACCCTATCCCATTCCATCCCAGTGGCCATGGCACAGTCCAGGGGGACCTGGGCTCAGCCCGATGGGGACACTGTAGGGTCCCATGGGGTCCCCGGTCCCCAGGGCGTGGCGGTGCCCCAGCTCGGGGTCCCACCCCCGTGGGTAGCTCCGGGGCCACTCGTGACGCGTCCCCGCGGAGCCCACGGGCGGGGCGCGAAGTTCTGTTATGACGTCATGTGAGGGGCGGGGCATAGGGCGGGGCGTGTCCCTGCGGCCCCGCCCCCCCAAGTTGCCGCGCCGGGCGCGCGGGGCCGCGCCGCGACGGACCGACGGCTCGGCTGGGACCGGCTGGGAGCGCTGGGAGCGCTTGGGAGCGGCTCGGCTCGGCCCGGCTCGGCCCCGGCCCTGCGCGGGAGGGCGGGAGGAGGGGGCGCGCTCCCCCCGAGCGGCGGCCCCGGGCCGCAGCCCCCCGTTGCGGTCGGAGAGGCGTGCAGGTGAGCGTCGCGCCGCGCCGGACCGGGGGCGAGGGGGGCCGGGCCCGGCGGTGGGGGAGTTGCTGGGATCTGGCACTGGCTGTCCTGGGGCTGCCCCCGACTCTCCCCCCGCCCCCGGTGGCCCGGGACATCCCGGCGGGGCCGTGCGGGTCCCTGCCCAGTGCGTGTGAGCCCCGACGGCTGCCCGCCGCCGCGCTGTCCCCTCCGGCACCCCGCGTCCCGCAGACCGCGAGCCCCGACGGGCGCCACGGGCTCGGCGAGCTGCCGGAGCCCGGCTCCCCCCGCGCCGCCCCGCTCGCGCCCCCGGGCCGCTTCTGCCCCGATGCCGCCCCCGTCTCCGCGCGGAGCTCGAAGCGGAGACCTGGGCTGGCCCCGTGGCTGGCGGTGCTGCCGGGGACCCTCTCCTCATGTCCCTGCCTCCAAGCATACCCTCCCGGACCCCGCGCTTCTCTCCCGCAGTCCGCTCTCTTCCCGCTGCCGCAGCGCTCCGAGCCGGCCAAGCGCAGACCTGCCTGCGGTGCGCGGCCCGGGCTGTCCCCCCGCACGCCACGGGCCGGGGGCGGTGGGGCTCCCCGAGCCCTACCTGAGCCCCAGCCCGGGGGCTTCGCGGGCAGCGCGGAGCCGGCCGGCCCCTCCGCTTCCCCTCCGCCTCCCGCTGCCTGCCCGCTGCCTGCACTAGCAATATTTCGGTCCGTCTCAGCCCGGCTGCATTTTCTGCCTGTCCCCAGTACATCCTTCCCCCGGGACGTGGGGGCGGGATGGCAGCGGGGACCCCCCACTCCCCCACGGACACGTCCAGGGCAGCTGCAGGTGGAAGTGGGGGTTAAGGTGGAGCACCGGCCGGTGGCACATCGCGCCGTAGGGCAGAGCTGGGGGTCGGGGGACTGGGGGGCCCCGCTGGCGAGGGCTGCACGGCTGCGTCATCCCTTCGTGCCATCCCCACCCGGCCACCCACTTCCCCGCTATTGTCTTACACCCGCTGTTGCTTCTGCTCCCAAATTAGACACTTGGAGGGGGGTGCTGGCTGCGTGCGGGTGCCAGCGCAGCACTGAGCCTTCCCCCTGGCACCCCGAGGAAGAAGCACTCATCCTTCTGCCCACCTCCTACCCCTGGGTGCCCCTGCTGAGGTGAGGGTCCTCTCACCTGTGGGGTGCAGGTGCTGGCCCCGATGTGGGGCCGTATGCCAGCCTCCCTTGCAGGGTACCCCCAGGTGTGCTGAGCCCCACCTCAAGCCTCCTGGGACAGGGGAGGGTACCAGTGCTCAGCCCTGGCAGGAGGAGACCTCATTAAACCAACGGGAACTAATTTTATGAGCGCAGATTAGCTGAGCGCTCACAGAGACAGCAATAAAATCCCAATATATCATCCTGCCCGGGTCCCCTTCCCAACTAATCCTGGCCCTGTGCCACCAGTGCTGGCAGCCTGCCCGCCTGCCCGCAGGCCAGCCCTGCCCCTGATGGTCTGTGGCACTGAGCCCACCACCACACCAGTAGCTGCCAGGACAGTACTCGTCCCCCTTGACCAGGCACAGCAGCACGGCAGAGCCAGCACGGTGTGGCATGGGGACACGGAGGTGCCAGGCAGGGCACGTTTGCCAGGGAGACTGGTGGGATGAGTCAAGTGTGGGCTGGAAAGCCTCACTCAGTCTATGGCATGGGCAGTGGTGTCCCATGGGTGCTCTGATTCTCTTTTGGGACTTGATGCGTGCTGAGCAGGAGTGGTGTGGGTGCTCTTGCTCGGTGCAGGCTTTCCTGGCAGGAGGGTGCCTGGGTGCCGTGCAAGCTGGGAGCACCCATTCTGTGGGCATTGCTTGAGCAGGCACAGAGGCAGGTCAGCTCCTAGGGATGGAGGCAGGAAGAAGCATCCCCCCATTCCCTGGCTCAGGGCACTCACGTCCCACCCAGGTTTGGGTCAATCACCCCAGGGAGAGTTTAGGTGAGTGCCCCGGGTGCTGCGGGCAGGACCACCTTCCTCCCAGGGCCTGTGCAGCAGGGATGGGGCTGCGCACCCGCAGGTGGGTCGGGTACTGCCGGGTGCTGCCCGTCCCTGCCCCCTCCAAAGGATGTGCCGCTTTCTGCATCTTCAGCTCCCATTGCCATAGCAACAGGCTCGGCGCTTGGGTACCCGCTATGCCGGCTCCCGCATCCCGCATCCCGCACTGCCATCCTGCCCGCAGCTCTCACCACCGGGCCCCGGGCACTGCCAGCACGGCACAGCCAGGCCGGCACAGCACAGCATGGTGTTTGGGGAGCTTTAGCGCTGGGCAGTGGGTGCCTCCAGCATCGTGCCAGCATCCCGTCGCAGGGTCCCACGCAGGCCCATCCAAGAGGGCTGGGGGGCCGCAGGCAGCTCTGTCACCTTCTGAGCCATCAGAAAATAACACCAGCTGAAACTTCCTCCTGGTAACAGGGTGGGAGAGGGAAAAAAATCACTTTATGCGACCAGATTTTTTTCTGGGAAGCTTCCAAGGAGGATCTGGTTTTGAAGGGTTCCCAGCAGGAAAGCAAGGGGCGAAACATCCTTACTAAATGGCCAGAGGAGCTGGTGTGTGCCAAGGCCAGTCAGTGTCCTGCCCGCTGCTGGTGGCAGGAGGGCTGGCACCTCCAGGCCACGGTGCCACCTGCCCAGTGCCGCAGTCGGGGCTGGGAAAAGGGATGGGGAGCTGAGGCTGGTGTAACCCACTGCACATGTGACAACGTGTGACAATGCTCTGCCTGGGGAGGCCCCAGCTGCTGAAATGTCACCGTGGGACAAAACTGGGCTGAGAAACATGAAAGGGTCGATTCACCTCCACTTCCCTCGCCAGTGGGTGCTCCGGGCCCTGCGCTAGCTTTTGGCTGCTAATTAAGAATTAACGATCCACACAAGGGGGGCCAGAGGGGCTGGCTTGTGGCTGTGCTGGCGGCCTGAGCCCAGGCAGAGAGGCTGGATGCCACAGGGATGGATGGATGCACGTCGGTGGGGCTGGGCACATGGCAGTTTGTGACAGCTGGGGAGCAGGAGCAGGCGCTGAGCTCCGTCAGGTTTTACATTAATTAGTGCAGCTTGGGAGGGTCTGCTGTGGCTCCAGGGGGGCCGGCGGTGCCGGGGCACTCACTGCCTCTCCCTGCCCTGCCAGCACCGGGCCCTGCGATGCCGTTTGGCTGCGTGACACTGGGAGACAAGAAAGATTATAACCAGCCGTCCGAGGTGACTGACAGATATGACCTGGGCCAGGTCATCAAAACGTGAGTTGGTCCCTCCACGGCCCGCGGATGCCCCGGGGACCCCAACGCCTGCGTACCCTGGGCTGAGGAGTGGCACGACACTGCCAGTGGGGCTCTTGGGGTGCTGGAGCCCAGCTGGGCTAGGATGGCAGGGTTCCTTTTGGGGTGGCTATCTCCTGATTAGTCCCTCTTGCTGGTGGGTGCATGGGGGTTTCCACAGCTGGCTATGAGGAGGGCAGCGAGCTTTCCCACCGCTGCTGGCTGCAGCTGGGTATCTCCCTGTATCTCTCCCTCCTCGCCACAAGACTTGCAGGGATTGCAGCAATTCTGTACGATCCTGGCTCCCCCAAGCAGTTTGGGAAGCAGGAGGGCTCTGTTTCAGCAAAGGAAATGCAGATACCATTTGAGGGGGGGGGGGGGAAGCAGAGCACTGCTGCTTCCCCCAACTTTTATTGCCACGCTGGGCGACCCATTAGAATGCACTCCAAAAAATGAAGCTCTCAGACCCACTGAGAGCAGTCTGACCCCAAAATATGCACCAGAATTTTTTCCAAAGCAACCACTTGGTCATTGGTCACGCCTGGTGGGGTGACACTGGGTGGCAGCGGGGACCTTGGTGCTCTCAGATCTTGGCTCCATCCCCTGGGCCACCTGCCCCAAAGCCCACAGGTCCCAGTTCCCCTCCATCCAGGGCAGTGGCCACGAGGATTTCAGCACAGCAGGAGTGACTGGAAGCCAGAGGCTTTGCTGGAGCAGTGCCGAGTGCCCCCCGGGGGCTTCCCCGTGGCTCTGGCCTGGCCGATGGGCTCAGGTACCATTAATAATACAACAGAAATACTGCAGCAACCGGCGAGTCTCCCCTTCTTTCTCCCTGACCGCAGTGCTGACATTAATGTCGGAGTGTGCTGCTGTTCCACCTCAGCACAGGTGGCTATGCAGTGGGGTCTTACCCCAGCTGCTGTGAGGAGGGGGCTTTTTAACCAGCAAATGTTACTCCTTCCCTATCATTTTGCTTATTGCATATCAGTTCCTTCTCACCACTGTTTTTTTCTCCCCCTCTCCTCCAAAGAGGTTTTTAGCCACAGCTTCCTTCCACCCCTATGGCATCTCCTCTGACCGCTAGGACTGGGGGAAATGCTGGTGGGCCCACCTGAGCACCCCAAGCTCAGGGGTCCCCAGGAAGGGGGTGATGGTTGGGGGTACCCTTGCAGGGAAGAGTTCTGTGAAATCTTCCGGGCTAAGGAGAAGACGACGGGGAAGCTCTACACCTGCAAGAAGTTTCTGAAGCGGGACGGGCGTAAAGTGCGGAAGGCGGCCAAAAACGAAATCATCATCCTCAAAATGTGAGTGCCAGGGCTGGGGGGGACTGTGCAGCTGGGCAAAGTGGGGAGAGACCCCCACCCCATGCCCCTGTGTCTCCGCAGGGTAAAGCACCCCAACATCCTACAACTAGTGGACGTCTACATCACCCGCAAGGAGTATTTCATCTTCCTGGAGCTGTAAGTTTGGGACATGCAGGGGGGTGTGCGGCGTGGCCCCACCAGGGTGGGGTCTCGGCAGAGCTGCTGTCTGCAGGGCCACTGGCCGGGAGGTCTTTGACTGGATCCTGGATCAGGGCTACTACTCCGAGAAGGACACCAGCAATGTCATCCGGCAGGTGCTGGAGGCTGTTGCCTACCTGCACTCGCTCAAGATCGTCCACAGGAACCTCAAGGTGGGTGATGGAAGGGTGGGAGCACCCATGGGTGTTGCTGTGCCCCCCACCCTGCCACTCACAGCCCCTGCACCGGCAGCTGGAGAACCTGGTGTACTATAACCGCCTGAAGAACTCCAAGATCGTCATCAGCGACTTCCACCTGGCCAAGCTGGAGAACGGGCTCATCAAGGAACCCTGCGGCACCCCTGAATATCTGGGTGGGTGAGAACCAGCCAGGTGGGCATGCAGGGGTGGGCAGTGCTGCTGGGGTCCCAGCAGGCCCCTGCTGTTCCTCACCACACTGAGGGCTTGTAATGGGTCCCTCCTGATGGTCATAGGTGCCCCTGGCAGGTCCCTGCCATTCCCCATCACACCCTGAGGGCTGATCCTGGGTTCTCCCAGTGGGTGCCTCCCACTCCCCATGATCCCAGGGCCAAAGAGCTGGGGCATTTGGGACCCCGGGGCAGGGTTGCTCTTGTGTCCCCTGCAGCTCCGGAGGTGGTGGGGCGGCAGCGGTACGGGCGGCCGGTGGACTGCTGGGCTATTGGCGTCATCATGTACATCCTGTGAGTGTGGGGTGAGGGATGGGGTGGTCAGAGGGTCTTGGGGGCCAGGGGCTGGGCTGAGCCCCCCACCACATCCCCCAGCCTCTCTGGGAACCCCCCTTTCTACGAGGAGGCAGACGAGGATGACTACGAGAACCACGACAAGAACCTCTTCCGCAAAATCCTGGCTGGAGACTACGAGTTCGATCCTCCATACTGGGATGACATCTCGCAGGCAGGTGAGCCACACGCTGGGGAGTTCGTGGGGTCTCGTGTTGTACCCCCCCAGCACTGACGTCCCCCTCTGTGCCCCCAGCCAAGGAGCTGGTGACGCGCCTGATGGAGGTGGAGCAGGACCAGCGGATCACAGCGGAGGAGGCCATCTCCCACGAGTGGTGAGGGGCAGTGGGTCGGGGTGGGGGACTGGGGTGGGGGGCTGCTGGGGGCTGCTCATCCCTCCCCACCTCCCCAGGATCTCCGGGAATGCCGCCTCCGACAAGAACATCAAGGATGGAGTCTGTGCTCAGATTGAGAAGAACTTTGCCCGGGCCAAGTGGAAGGTGTGTGGGTGCGCCGTGCCTCAGTTTCCCCCGGTCCCCCATCGCGGGGCTGTGAGCCTGGTGGGGCTGCCAGCTCTTGCCCCTCCGCCAGCCCCACGCCCCGCGCCTCTCCCCTGCAGAAAGCCGTGCGAGTGACCACGCTCATGAAACGCCTGCGGGCGCCCGAGCAGACGGAGACGGCGACGGCCGCGGCACCGGCAGCGGCCTCGGCAGCAGCCCCGGCCGCCACCCCGGCCCCTGCCGCCGCCGCCACCAGCCCGGCCCCCGCCGCCGCCGCCACGGACCCTGCCGCCGCTGCCGCGGAGGCCACGACCCCGGCCCCCGCCGCTGCCACGGAGCCCACAACCCCGGCCCCCGCCGCTGCCACTGAGCCCACGACCCCGGCCCCCGCCACTGCCACGGCTCCGGCCCCCACCACGGAGCCCGCAGCCCCCGGCGCCGCCACGGAGCCCGCGGCCCCCGCAGCCCCCGGCACGCCGCCCGCCGCCGCGCAGCCCCCGGCCCCCGGCACGCCGCCCCCTGCCACGAGTAACGGGGCCGGGGCGGCCGCCGAGCCCTCCAGCGAGCAGAGCGGCTGAGCGGACCCCGCGCCCCCTGTACATAGCCCCGGCATGGCCCCCCCGCCCCCGCCTGCGCCCCCTTTTCTACGCGCCCCGCCGGAGATTCGGCCGCGGGGCAGAGCCCTGCATGGCGCCCGTCCCCCCGCGTCCCCCCCGCTCTCTCAGTCTGTCCCCCGCCGCCGTCCCCTCCCCCGGGGATGCCCAGAGAAGCGAGGCAGATCCCCCCGGCCGCACGCCCCGCAGGGGGGCATCGCGGGGCCCCCTTGGACACGCGTGCACGCGCGGGGCGGCGCGGGACGGGGAGGGGGACGTCCCGGAGACCCCCTCTCCGTCCTGGGACCCCTGGGGGGGGACACGGGGACCCCCCGCACGGTCCCCCGTGCGTCGTGCCTGGCGGACCCCCGGTGCCCCCCCCGTGCCTCCTCCCCGGTTCCCGCTTTCCCCCCCCGCAGCTGCATGCCTGCAGGGCCGGCTCTGCCCGCGGCTGCCGCCCCGCGCCCCCCCCCCCGCTGTATCTCTGGCAAATAAAGACCCTGCTGAGGACAAACTGAGACAGCACCAGCGCCGCCTGCCCTGTCTCTCTGTGGGGCCGGGGGTCTGCCAGGCGTGCCGCTGGCACGGGGCTGAGCGGAACGCAACGGCAGCACTCGGAGCGGCAGCGGGGCCCGGGCGCTGCGGGCAGCGGGACCTTGCGGGGGTTGGTCCCCGCGAAGGGACTTCGGGGCGCCGCCGCCCCGGGGTCGGTCCAGGGTGTGCGGGGGCCGCGGGACCGGCGGGCACAGGGACCCGGCGGCGCCCGCGGCGGGGCGCGGCCACGCCCCGCCACAGGCCACGCCCCCGTACCAAACCGCGCCCCTCACACCGCCACGCCCCCTCTGCCCTCGGTCCGCCCCAGGCCAGTGAGGTCACTTCCGGTCAGGACCGGAAGCGGCGGAGCGCGGCTGCGTTTGAACTGCGCGGGGTCGCGCGGTCTCTGCGGTGCTGGCACTGCGACCCCCGGGACCCACCCGGACCAACCTCAGCCTGCCCGGGACCCACTCCGAGCACCCTCTCCATACACCCCCTCTCCTGACCCTCCCCGACGCCCCGTCCCGGTACCCCCTGCCCCGTTCCCGCCATGCCCATCCGCGCCCACTGCACCATCTGCTCCGACTTCTTCGATAACGAGCGGGACGTGGCGGCCGTGCCTTGCGGGCACACTTTCCACCGGCTCTGGTGAGGGACAGGGCGGGACGGGTGGGGTGGGGGCGCGGGGCAGGCCAGCTGCCCCCGTGGGGTGTCAGCCGTGACCCCCTGCTCCGCTCTGAGGGGTGCTCGGAGCGGCCGCAGTGCTCGCTGGACACGGGAACGGGCGGCCCGGGGAGGCGGTGAGGACACCGTCCCGGGTGGTGCTTCGGGAACGACTGGACGTGGCACTCAGTGCCCTGGTGTGGCTGGCAGGGTGGTGCTGGGTCACGGGTAAGGCTCGAAGATCTCGGGGGCCTTTTCAGTGTCTGTGTCACTCCGCTGCCGGCGGGCTCCCTTCTCCACGAGCGCCGGTGCCAGCTGTGCTGGATTGTGGTGAGGCCTCCCTGGCAATTTCATGCTGCTGCTGGAACAGTGCTGGAAGTGTCTGTGTTGGACAGAAACGGTTCTTCTGAGGAAATAAACCTTGTGTGTGGGAAGAGAGTGGGCACTTGCTCTCCTGGCTGACAAACCGGGAGCGGCACCACGGGTGTGATTGTCGCCCTTACCGGGCTGTGCTTCTCGGGCTCGCTCTCCTCCAGCAGCCAGCAGAGGAGGGAGAGCTTCCAGCGGTAACCTGCCAGCTCCAGGCCGTTACCCTGCTTCCTAAATAAACCCTTCCAGCGTGACGTGACGGCTCGGTTGCGAAATGCATTAGTGGCTCTGCTGGGGAGCACAGCAGGTTTGCATCCATCATCTCGGAGCAGAGAGCGTCCCAGTCCCGCTCGCTCCGCAGATCCGTGTTCAGTGGCACCCCTTGGAGCTGCCCGCTCGGCAGATCCGTGTTCAGCGGCACCCCCTGGAGCTACCCGAGCTGGATCTCAGCTGTCGCGTCCCAATATAGAGCAGCTCTTGTGCCGCGCCCTGCACGGATCCGCTCGCTCCTCGGAAGCGGCGGTTGTTTAAAGCCTGTCCCCTAGAGAGATCTGAGCTCTGGGAAGGCTCTACCCCGGTAAAGATAAGCTCATATGCTGAATTCAGCCGGGGGTTGTCTCGGAGGCGCCCGTGTGGAACGTGGTGTTCCCGTCGGCCACGCCGCTGGGCTGAAGGCTTGTGGTTCTGCTTTGGTGTGTATCGAGGAGTCACGTCCTGCTGCCTCCTGGGGAGCTGGGGTTAGCCCCTGGGAGAAAGCACTCCTGGGTTTTAAGGATTTACTGCCTGTTTTCTTTTTGTTTCTCAGCCTCATCCAGTGGTTTGACACCGCACCGAGCCGGACGTGCCCGCAGTGCAGGATCCAGGTAAAGCCATCACCTGTGCACACCTCTCTGTGTCTGTGGCACAGTGCTCTGCAATGGCACTGAGGGGTTGTGGCCTGGAGTGATGCCTGAGATAGGAGGCAGAGGAATTTTTCTGTCACCTGGGACTCCCCAGAGGCTGAGAGGATGGACTCCCCTCTACAGCCCTTCTGGTCAGAGTGGGCTGAGGGTGCCCTGCCACTGTCTGCACTGCAGCTCCACCTGGAAGGGACTCTGGGTTTCAGAAATCTTATTTAGGCTGGGTGGGTATTGGCAGGATGACAGAAAGGGCTTCAAGGGGATAATGGGGACACCTGACTTGTGTTTCTGAAGTGCCCAGTTCCTTGCTCTCAGGTGAGGAGCCTGTTCTGCTGCATGTGGGCCTTATAACACATCTTGGCTTTGCAGCACTTGGTCCTCCTTTGAGAAGAGCAAAGGCTGGGAAGGGAGGGAAGAAAGAATGTGCTCTGCTTCTGAGATGGGAAGCTGAGTCTTGGGTTTCCAGTGGCTTAATTGGGACCTGAACTTCTTTGAAGTCCCTTGTGTCACCAGCCTTCGTTCCGCCAGTGGGTCTTGGCGCGGAGCGGCTGCAGGAGATGTTTCCTTGCTCTCAGATGTAAATTTTTATCCAGCTGCAGCTTGGGCTTACTCTGTGTTCGTGCTTCTTTCTTCCTCTCAAGGTCTTGGCCCTTGTTCCTTCCCTGACTTGTTGATTCCCTCTGTTCTTCTCTGCCTCTTACATCTCTGGGTTACCATGGAGTTATCGCGAAATAACATCTTATGTGGCAGTAACCATGCAATTAGCTGGTGTCATGACTGTATATAATACTTAAAACACAAAGCTGTAACTGCATGGGGGAGGTGTGGAGAGCTATCAAATTCAATTACAGCACCTTCTGCCTGCAGAAAGCAGCACGTACTTCTGTCTTAGGATTTGGCATCATGTTAGCTCAGCGTCAGCTGCTTGGGCCTGAGCTGCCAGAGAACAGACTGCGCTCGAGTCAGAAATGTCTGAATCTTTCTGCTGAGGCTCAGGAGCTTGGCTGGAGCTGCACTCCCAAAAAACTGAGTGGGGGGTCTGCTGCTGTGCTGATGAGCCAAAGCAGAGCATCGGCACTAATGGCATCGAGCACGTGATCTCATTTGCCTTTCATGGCCTTGTCACAAGATGGTTCCTTCTCCCCCTCCATCTGTCTTCCATATCTGTGGTTTCCATATTTGTGCCCATCAACCTCTTCTGTCTCCTGTGTTTAGGTCAGCAAAAGACACATCATCAATAAGCTGTTTTTTGATGTTGCCCTGGAGGAGCAGGCAGCACCGGATGCAGAGACCTTGCAGGTAATTTGACTGGTGGTTCTTCCCTTGTGTGATGCTTCAGCCTCTTGAAAGTGTGGCCTGGACTGCCTGTGCACCTCCAGGAGGTGCTTCCCAAGCTGGAGCTTGCTGTGCTCATGTTTCTGTCCTGGAGCACGTCAGTCTCTACGAGGTGATTTAAAGTTCTCCCTGACCAAATCCCATTTGGTGACTCAAGAAGCCTCTTCTACTTTGCTGCTATTCCTTTTGGTTCTCACCTTACCTGGAAATCTCCTGAAACAACATCACATCAGACTGCTGCTTTTCCCCTGGGAATGAGGCTACAGAGCTCTTCCAGAAGGCAGGAGAAGGGAAATCTCAGATGCAGTGAATTGCTGCTGGTGTCTGTGGCCTGGTTGCACATAAGGTCTGCTAACCCCTCTGGAAAAAAGGGGCTGTTGGAGGAAGTGTCCCCTCCTCCCTTCTGTGCAGCTTGCACAGGCTGAAGGAAGTGGGGCAGGGTGGGGAGTAAGTCATAATTCCCCGAGAGATGTTAGGAAAGGGACTGCCTGAAGCCACACCAGCAGCAGTGGACAGTGCTCAGGCTGGGTCTCTGGGGGATCCTGGCTGGAGCTGGGGTGGTGGGTGGTGTTCTCCAAGTGTCACCTTTGGGTGTGGAGGGCTGGGAGTGAGTGGGGTTGAATAAAGAGCAGCTGTGCCACGTTCTTCTCCTTTCTGTGGATGAAAGAGGGTTCCTTCTGTCTTGGAGTTATCTGTTCCAAAAAAAAAAAGTGGTCAGCTGACCTTGGTATAACAGGACGGTTGTACCCTCTTGTGTTTAGAATCAGCATGTGCAGCAATTACCATAATTAGCAGTTGCCATGACAATTCTATATGTATATCATATGTCTTTAAAATAAAGCCAGCCAGACTATAATGTCAGGAGCGCTGTCGTTCTCCAAGACTACTAATTACAAAACTGAAGGCCAAAATCTGTGTGCTGACGAAATGGAGGAGCATCTCTGGGCAGGGGGGTCTTTGTGCCCTTGGAGCACATAAACATTGCCTTTGGTACATATTCATATCTGTTTTCACAAGTGCAGTTAGATGAGTGACTTGGAAATGGGTTGACTGGAGAGAATCACCCTAGAAAAGCTTTCTGTTCTCTCTCACCACCACCCCAGGATCCAAGATGGGTTCTCCCAGCCTTCCCCCTCCAGGCAGGCTGTGCAGAGCTGTTCCCTTCCTTGCTCAAGGGCAGGTCTG